ACATTTTTTCAGGCCACTTTGCAAGCCATTTACTTACTCAAGAGAAAAACAGATTGCTCCACGCCACTCACAACTACACTTGGTTAGAAACAGAAGCCATTAATGGACTCCTGTGCCTATGAACAGACTCATGCACTTACGGAGAGTAGAAGTAAGAAAGGACAATGGGTCTCCGGTAGTAGGTTTGGTGCATTTAATATGCTCCTAAACTATTGAGGGACAAGCTGTGGTTTGATGTGCCCTTGAAAACCTCCAGTGATGGAGGTTCTGTAACCACATTTGGTAGTTTATGTTAGTTCTTCATTACATCTGTGTCTAAAACTTAACTTCTTTCCTATCTTTAAATCCCAGTTTCTGTCACTTAAACTCATTTAAGGATATTGGCAGGAGAAAAGTAAAAGGCAAAGACCTTCAGAGAAAAGTAGGAGCAAATATATTTTACAAACCAGGAAAAAAATACAAAATTTCCAGAAAGAGACATAATTAAACATTTTTAAAATAGAAGTTACCTTTAAAATTTTAAATACAATGTTTTGCCGGTAAAGTGTGAGTCCATCATTTGGACACTTCTATGTCTGCAGTTCTAAGTTCCGTGCTATTGTAAAAGAAGTTATTATCTTTAAAAAAACCCAGAAAATATAACTTTTGCTGGTTTAGTAAAATTCTATTGACTAGAGTAGAAATATAATTTGTAACTTGTCCTCTTTCAATCACAGTACAAAATACCAGTTGTTTGCAGATGCAATAGAAAAATCTGCTTAATAGCGAGCAAGATAATAACTTTCTACTTACACCTAGAGACACACGTTACAGCTAGGCAAGAAAACTTCTATTCTGAAATTGAATGCTTTTTCCTTAGACTTCTTGTTCCACTTCTTTCTCCTCCAAATTTTTCTTCCCTGAATGGTGCTGAATACCTCTCTTATAAACACAAGTAGCTGGTCCTCAATTAAGTGGGAAAAAGAATCTACTGATGAAAAATGAATAGTTTAGATGAAGGTCTGTTAGGCAATGCGATTACGCTAGTCTGAATAAAATGTTTAAGCTAAAGACCTAAATCTGCTTTTCGCATTGAATGTGTTAGAAAGTACTATGTTTCCTGTTTCCTTGATTCTCTGTTACTAATTTTGTAGTCTTTCAGTGAATAGTCTAGCCTAAGTGAATTGGATTTTGATGGATGTATATGGAAGTAATGTCTCTGCCTCTGATCAAACAGTGGACATCTGTTCACTAAAGCCATTTGACATGGTTGTCTCCTCCCTCTCTGGGTAGATACCAGAATTGTGGGGCTAGAGTGCGGGGGAAGCTTTACGTTTCAAGTGCAGCTTCTGCTGTAGCAGCCTGGACAGCTGGGCCATCCTGGTCTTACTCCCCATCACCTCCAGTTCTCTGCCTTGCAATCTGATTTCTTCTCGGCCATGTATTCCCCCATTTGTTCAGGAATAAGATTTACAAAACAATGAGGTCAATATTTGTTTGTAACTATGCAAAATACTCTAGGGAATGTTTCAAATTCCAGAAGGTTTTTTTGTAGTTTATGAAGCCAGAAAAGGCTTGTATACATCATATATACAAAACAAAAAATTACAGAGTATCAAAACTCGTAGGTTAAATAAAATGAAATCCTTATCCAGCTTCCCCTGATTTTTGATTTGGAGATAGGGCACAATAAAAATTGAGACTGGTTTTTAAAATAATACATGTGTATAGCAGGCAACTTTTTTTTTTTTGGTAGAACTGATAATTTTATAACTTAGGTTTTTTTTTTTTTTTTAATTTTATGTAAGGGGGTAAAATGGTTAGAACAACTTGCATAATTCTTTTTCATTCCTGTCCTCAGAATAACACATAAATTTGGTGTAACCAAATGGCAATATATCACTATCTGGATTTTAAACTGAAATGTAATTTCTCACTCTTAAGGTTCTTCATTATTTGAAAAATGAACCTTTTAAAGAATATTTTAATACACATTTGATGCGTTTGATAGTCTTTGAGCTACTCAACCTTGAAATATGATGCTAAATTTAAAGTTACACTTGCAAAATTATTTATAAAATGGTAATTATCCCTCCTATCCAGCCTGACTTAAGTAGTGCATAGAGCAATTCCTTTGTAGCAGACTAACCTGGGACTTTGTTAATTGACAGCAACTAGAAGCATTTCTCTGCAGATGTTTCTCCTAGTAGCTTCTCTGTGACCTGAACTCCTCTTTTGGAGACCCTGAACAAGTCTACATCCATTTTCAATTTTTAAACACATGCCAACAGCTATAGACTTCAAGAAGCCCTGAGACAGAATTGCTCGTCTTCCAGAAGATATTGGCCTTTCCGTACGTGGTCACATCACCCTGATGCCTCTCTTAACAGCACGCTGATGCCAAGGCTTAGCTTCCCTTATTTTGCGTTTCAGAGCGTGACTCTGACCAGAGCTTTCAGCCACTCCTGTGCTGCTTCAGCAGAAACAGAGATGAACTGTTACATACAGAGAACGCAATCTTTGTTTTCTCACAGAAAGTTAGAGCTAAATGTTCAACTGGTAAACTTGTACAGCTTCACTGGCTCCCGTGGGCTAGATGATGTACACTGGATGTGAATCTAGGACTTTTTAAAGTGGCTTATGTAAGAGGCAGTACAAATGAAAGGAATACATTTGTAAAAGAGTGAAGGAAAAAAATCCAGGAAATTATTTTACTCTGTTGGCCGGGTATTTTTCTATTGATTTAAGATTAATTCCACTATGTTCATTGGCAGTTTATTGCTTTTCAACAGATGCTACTTCATTCACCACCACTTCTGAGTTCAGCTGGGAAAAATCAACTATGTGTATTCCTCGTGTGAGAAGCAGAGAGCTCAGAAATCCCTATACACTATATAAACGAGCCTTAGAAGCCGGTGAGCTACTTTGTTTATAATTACGTTTTACTTCCTGGTCGGTGGAAATGTGAATGATGACCAGGACTAGAAGTGATTTGGATAAAAATCTGTATCTTTCCTTATTTCTGGCAAAGTAATTCCAGGAGACCACGTAGGAACTGTAGGAGAGAAAATACCCCCGCAAGAGCCTCCTCAAGAACGCACGTGACGCAGATGGTGCGGACATCCCTGCGGGTGTTCGCCTGGCCTGCAGGGTTTCCCGCAGGGTACAGCAGTGTACCAAGTCCAAGGTTTGCCCCAGGACCCCTTGGCGATGCCCGAGAGCCCAGCACAGCAGTTTACCCCCGCTCCTGAGCTGTGGTGATTCCACGTTTGTGCTAGGAACCAAGACACAGGTTTTAAACTTCGCAGGGTAACGAAAAAGTCTGATTTAAAGTGAAGATGATTTTAAGACCTCTATTTAATGTAGAAATAAATTCTATGTAATTTTGCCAAAATGATATGCAAACCCACTTCTTTTCCTGTGAGAAAGGATTGTTTCTGTTGTGTATAGCTTGCCTTTTAGCCCTCCTTTTGGCTTTTATAACTTTCCTAAATAAACTGCAAGGAGAGCGATTTATTTCTGAAGAATATTGTCTTTTAAAATTGTTTTTTACATTATTTCGTCTGAAGTGATTTAATAAATATTTTTGCAGAAGAACATGAAAAAAATAATCATTGTGATATGGCTTTTTGTTGCTGATATTCTTCCACTGCCAAAGAGAGAAGAAAATTATTCCCTCTAGTGCCACTGCTTTCGTATGAGGAAGTGTATTATTATTCATTGAGATATACTGCCATGTGACGTTTTAAAAGCACCTCAGTGAAGGTTATTGAGTTATATATAAAATATACAATGAAATTAGACAACCTATGTAAATCAGTCTGTCATAATGTTTGCACTTTCTACTGAAAGATAAAGAAAATAAAAATCCATAGGAAAGCAAAAAGTACTCGGCATCCAGAGCAATTTACTAATTGGAAAAAGAACACTTATCCACATTGTGCCTTGTCAGCAGAAATTCCTCTCTGATTCCAGCAATTCAAAGCCAAAAGGGAAGGTTGAAGACGTAGATTCAGGGTGTGTGTACGGGATTCTAAAATTAATTTTAATGCAACAGTATAGATATTTGATTAGTCTGCATGATTATAATTTCTTTTGGGGCATTACTGCTTGCTAAATGCCATCACTTTGGGCAAGCCTTATGAAGTTGTCCTCTCTGTCACAATCCAACTGCGATACACTCACTGCTTGGCTAAGAAAGCTGCTTTGGATGCCAGATAACTCACAACGCTGCTTTACTTGTCTTGAGGAGTGCCAGGGAGAAGTGCTTGCAAAGGCTGATTTTTAAGAACCTCTGAGCAGTCTCAGCAACCCTGGAGACGCGTGAGCACTTAACTCTTCTAAAAGACAAGCCCAGGAGACTAAGAATTGAATCTGTACCTCCACATAATGTTTAAGCATGTCAGGGCAGTAAAGAGCTGTTTCACAAAGTGGCTTATTTTGCACGTGTGTGTAACTTCAGCCATTGCAAGCTTTCTGTTTTATTTGCCCTCATTCACCTCTACAGCATTTAAGTGCACTTGGTTCAATTTTTTTATTTCTACATCACTAAAAAGACCTACTAAGAATGAAACATTCAGGACAGCTTTATATTCAGAACTAGCACTGCAAACGTTAAGATAGTCCTTACTGTTCATTCTCAAGAATGTAACATCGACATTTTGTTTCTGTGTCAAACAAACAAACAAAGCGAGCACAAATTTGACATCCAGCAATTTAAAATTTATTTGCTCTGATGCAAGTCTCCACATCACCTATTTTCTCCAGATTCAACAGCAATTATATTTTAATGTGTCCAAGTTTTTAGTAACTCAATCTGAGTAAACATAAAAATTGGGTAATTTTTGTGCCTTTTAATGTCTTGTTTGTTATGTAGGGTACAACTTATTCTATATTTTTTTTTCTTGACACCCGGGTCAGTATTTTGAGAACAGACGTGAAGTCTCCTCTTTAAAACATACTTCAAGAGCTTTACTTTCGTAGTAGAAAAGCTACAAATCACAAGGAGATGTTTTTCTTACCATAGTGAGGAATTATTGCCCAAGCCATTGCAGAAGCATAGATGCCGCCAATCATCCAAAACATACAGAGCCAACTCAGGTGTTCGCCTCGTTTCTCCCGAGCTAGCACTTCCGAAAAATAGGAGAAGACTGTTGGCACAGCACCACCAATCCTAAAAGGGGATGTAGATCATGGATTAAGTGAGAGTGTAACAGGTAGTTGAAGTTTGAACAAGCCCATGGCTGCACTCATTGAAAACCCAAACCACAAGCAGCATTTCTGGCAAGAGTGTTTTTTCTCAAATTGTACCATGTATTGGGAAACTCTTGAGGAAACTTTCACAAGTTTGGACACAATTTTTGTCAAATATTTCCTTGAAAACTCTGTGTATAATTTGTTGTATTCAGTGATTCAAGGGGATTGTCAATGTGCCAGCCACTGAAATAGAAACCAGCACAAAGGGTTGACTTTCACCATCACAAAAACCCTGAAATCATGGCAGTCTACCAACAAGTGTCAAAACATTGCTTTTAACTGAAAATATTAGTAATTTTCCCAAAGAATAATAGATATTTCTCTAAGTCTTACCTCCCATGCTTTAGGTAATCAAGAAGTGGCTAAATGTCAACCATGTTACTAATATGGTTTATTTCACACATATTTAAAAAGATGTTCTATTCATTTGCACTATGTGATTTGCTATTTTTTACTTAAATTTTTATGAAAAGTCTATGCAGTCATATTATATTCAGTTTTTCACATAGCAAAAATAAACATTCTCTAAAGGTTAGTTGGGAAAAAAAAGGGTTCAACTTGGGTTTACAAAAATTAAAGTAACTCAAATTATGTATAATTTTCAGTACTAGCTTTCAGATCATCTTTTACTGTCTTTACCTCTTCATTACCAATGCAAGCTCTCAAATATTCCACAACGGGACAAGTCCTTGTGGAATTTCTTTTTCTTCATGAAGAAAATACCTGTGAATCTTGAAGAGATATTCTCACATACAAGACTACATACTTTAAAGAAGTATCTTGCATGGTTTGCAGTTTTAACTGAATTTTAAAGATTAAAAAAATTTTTAAAGATTGCAAAAGCAAAAAGAAGGAAGCTTGAAACAGATTAAAACAAATGTGATAGGGAAGCCCTGCTGCCTCAGTGGTGCTATGGACTCGGGGCTCTCCAGTTCCCAAGGTAAAAATGGATTACAGCTATGATTTCTTGCCTTCAGGGCTCAGGCACAGCTTTGAATTGCACTCCCACAATATTGCCCAAATTCAGTACTCATTGATCTAATTAGAGATCTTTTTCTAATGTTGAAAATTCACTAGCAGAGCCAGAAACAAGGTCTTCCTCTTTCCTGCCTAAGCTGGAAAGTGCTGACGATGAGTTATACGTGCCCACTTTTAAGAAGACCTACATTAATAGATTGCTCATGGCATGTAGGACAGTATCATTCATGCGGTAACGCCTTACCTAAAGAGAATAATTTTTGGTAAGTGCTTTTTTCTCTGATGGCTTCTGCTCATTAAGAGAAGTATAGAGTGGTAAGTAAATACATATTTGGCAAATTTCCTTTCTATTATCCAACCTATTCTTCTAAATTTACAATTTTCTTAATTTCATATGTCTTTTCATGAAGTACAGAATCTTCTCTGTATTTTATAATGCAGTTACTATCGTAGCAAATATAGCCTGAAACCATCTGTGAGCACAATTAATAATAAATCACACTTAACACTTTAATAGTTCTCCTATTGCAAATTGCTTGAAAACATTCTCTGTAACAGGTTTGTTTCAGTCAGATACACTTCTGTTGCTTATGAAATTCAAGATTCAGCATATAAGCCTCTTGAAATCTCCCTTAAATATCCTAGGCTGGAATACTGATGAAGTAGGTCTTGTGGAGAGTTTCCAACCGGCGGAGTAAGACACGCATCTGTAGGTCATAAAAATGTCTGTGGGATGATAGTTTAGGAAATGGGTGGACATTTCAAGTGGAAAGAATGTACTCTATCTTAATGTCATAAAATGTACAGAGATCCTGACCAAAGGCAGAAAAAAAAGCATCTCCTGCCTGTCAGCATGAACCAACTGTACCGTGGAGGATGGGGAGGCTGATGCTGCTTTAGCGTTTAAAACTGAACCAGCAACCCTGATTCACATGCTATGTCCTAAATGTCCTTCAAGGCTACAGAAGAACCAATTGGTCTGTGCTAACCAATTTAATAGGGAAACTTTTCTAACAAATAGAACTTTTAGACATGTAAGAGGAATTTTGGAGCCAGCAACCCAAAATGATTATTTACGATATGAAAATAAACATAAGAAATTAATCAGGTTTGAAAAAATTTTTTTTTTTTCTGTTTCATCTGCTGTGATTACGTTGACGTTTCCCGTGAGTACACCAACAGGCTATGAAAAGCTTAGAAGTCCAGATACTATGCTCATATTGATTAAACAGTGAAAATAACTTGTCTACTGTCTAAAGGAGAAAAAAAGGATGTATTTTTCATCATATAGACAACATCTGCTATTTAGAGTTGTAGGTCTCTGTTTCACAGCAACTGTGTAGTAAAGTTTGTCGTGCACTTCTTCGCACTTTAAATGTGTTAATGGAAAACTTACTTCTCAGCTGGTTAAATTCTTCCTTCTGGCCTCAAGCAAGTGCAGAGTGATACTGCTAGAAGCTTTTAGGATCCGGGTACCTAAAAAGCTCTTCCTATGTCACTAATGCAAAGCTATTACAATGACTAAAAAGGTTAATCAACAGCTGAAATGGAGGAAAGAGGAGAGAGATGGAGAGGAGGCAACCTGCTGCAGAAGACTCTTTTTTTATGCTCTGATGATGGACGACGTCAGGGTGGCAGTAGCCAGGTCTCTACTCCCTAAAACTTGCTCCCAAATGCAGAACAAGTGATAGCAGAAAGGGAGAGCAGGAAGAGCTACAGCTGTTACCACAGCAAACAACAATAAGGAAACTCCTTAAAAACTGTGTGGACCTAGAGAACATTTTCAAGGAACAAAGAAATTTCTGTTTGACTCTTGCAGAAGTTTTAATGTGTGCTTGGTACCACAGCAATTTACTGTTACAGAATTAATGTGGTATCTGTTATGCTGAACATTGCTAGCAGAAGCATAAACTACCTCTCAAATACTTGGGCAAGAGAAGATCAGAGCAACTCTGACTTCTTCCATTACTCTCTTCTGAGGGTCTTTCACATACTTTAGCAGCTCTTGCACATTATGAATTAATTCATCAAATGTTCATATAAAAACCCCTCACCATTTCATCCAACAGCTGCAAGGAAGAATGCACTTTCTATAGTCAAAACAATCTTAGGCTAGATCCCACCTCCACTTACATTCATATAAGCCCTTAATAATTCAGTGACTCCAGATGAGCCTTTCCATATTTACATGGAAGGAACAGAATTTGATCCTCAGCATTTTTGTATTACAAGTTTGAAAGCAGACTGCCTCTTTGGTATGCTGCCAACATGGTGTGGAATAGGTGGTGGCATGCACAGGAAGGAATTCCTAATAAAATCGAAGGCAGAGTTGCCACTGATTTTAAAGTACAAAGACTTCATCTTTTGTTTTACGTGAAATGCAAACACTATTTTCCCACAGGATACAGTATTAAGTCTGCTTCTGGCAATTATTTGGTTTCATGCAGTGGGCTGTTTACTCTTACTGTGTTTATAAATTATATGACTCATCATCATTTGTAGAAAAGAATTTGATACATGAAGCTAGTCTTCCCTTCACATGTCTGCATGTGCAGATGAAAAGCCTGTAAAAACTGTGCTGACTTGAGAAAAATGTTTATTCTAAAAGATGGGAAGGATTTTAGCTTTCTTAAATACAAATGATTCAAGCAAACCAAAGTTTTAAAATATTATCTGTTATTCATATATGTTATTTCTTCAGTCATCACAGCTAACATAGTGTACATAAACTTGTTATCCACAGATAATGGAGGGGAGTTCATGTGTTGCTTCATGAAGAGTGACAAAGCATCTACGAGGTGCAGCTATATTGTATGTACAAATTAACTATACAGGTTTTTTATACCTTTATGGGAAAATTCTGTAGAGTCTGAACATTTTTTTAAAAGATTAAAAAACCACAGGTCTAAACCTCTGGGTTGATGATCACAAGTGATAACTGTCTCCAGAATAACAGATTTTGTAATGAGGCAGTCTAATACCAGCAAGAGGTAAAACTTTGTTAAGCTTGGCTCAAGACCATAAAATAATCTCTCTCAATCCATAAAAATCAGCCTCCACACCTAAACCAACAGGATGCATTCCTTCAGCCTTGTCTTTTTTAAAAAATATGTAGGAATATATGCAAGAACAACACTTAATAAACAGCAGGAGCCATTTTTTAATGCACATATTGCTCCATATGTGGAAAGAATGGCACAAATATAAATCAAAAGAATGAAAAATGTCAGTCCTTTTCAGGTTTTTTTTTTCATCTTCTGCAATAAACCCCATCAGAAGTAGGCAGAGGAAGAGCAGAATGTGTAATTTTTTGTTATTTTCTCAGAAACACGTAATTCAGTTGGAAGGAAATACCAATTAATCAGCATATTGTCACCCTTTTTGATGAAAAAGATGAGACAGTTTTGGAGTCTTATGGGTTATTTATGTTTGGAGAACAATTAATGACTGAACATGTTATTTGATGCCCCAGATTCTTATTTTACTCTTACTTTTTACTGTTTTTTTTCCAGGATTATGTTCTCAATATCTTTAAAGCTACATTTTTAGGTTTTGGCTACTTCTTTCTGTCTGCTTTTGCTCACGTGCAGACTCGTATACAAAGAGTCCTCCACTGTCTGGTACCTATGCCCTGGTATTTAGTGTCTAGTTAAAGCCATCTCCTACACAGCTCAGCTTCCACTCAGCATGCATATGGCATGTGTTTTGGGTGGTAGGTCATATTTGCTCACTTCTGTTACTTCAAAAAAAGAGTTGTACTGTTTCTTCTCTTTATTCACAAAGAAAGGTGGCTCCTCATCCAACATTTTGATGCCATTTCTTAAAATTTTCAATTAAAAAAGAACAACAGTTATTTAGGGGGAAATGACAATACAGAAATAAGCAACTGATCTAATCCCACTTTTCAGCAACAGAAGGTTCAATTTCTGACCCCAGAAT